TTTTTTTTTTTTTTTTTTAAATCTTGGTACACAGAGATATGCGTCAACCATACATGTGCACATCATTTTTTTTTCTGATTCGATCAAATATGGCTGACTAGCGGCCATTTTTAATGCCAAAACTCAGTCAAATTCAGTCCTTGTGTGTCCATCGTCATTTCTCAGAGATGGCTTGATCGATTTTGTTGAGACTTGTTACAAAGACAAAGGACAACCCATACAGATGCACGTTGTTTTATTTTTTTGAAATGATCAAATATGGCCGACTGGCAGCCATTTTGATTGTTAATCATGGCTTTCTTCTGTCAATTGATATTTCTCAGAGATGCCTTGACTGATTTCAAGGATACTAGGTACAAAAGAAACAGTTAGGAGGTATACATATTCACATGGATTTATTTCCCGACTTGATCATATATGGCTGCCAGGCAGCCATTTTGAATGTCAAAATCGTGTAAAATCCAGTTTTTTGAGTGTGTCCATCCTACATATACATGTACATGTAGTTACTAATATTTATAATTCACCTTGCTTTAGCTTCCATAAGAATTTCAGAAATCATGTAAGGAAGTAAATGATCTTCACTAGACACTAATCTACATGCATGTGATTACAGTTGTGTGTTAAATCGCAACATGTAGCCATGGTGTTTGAGTGAAACATCATGCACACTTATGGACAGCATTTGGAGATGGCCTTTAGTCACATGACATTTACAGCCTTTCAAAGAAATATTCGGACAGATAGTTACTAAAATGGCTCCCAACATTTTGATGTTTACTTTGTTCTAGACTTGACGAAGTCACTTGACAGATGGCATGCTATGTGTGGGGACACTATTTCATAGGGTGATCAACATTATGATTTACAAACTGGGTGGATGTATTCAATAACTATTCATTTCCTGTTTATCTACATTGTACGCAATTCAAAAAATATTAAAACACTTCAGAATAACTTGTTTGTATATTCTAATGAACACTTTTCCATTTGGGTTTTTCATCTGTTACGACTATGTAATGATCTCTAACTCTGCACCAATCAATGTAACAGTACCATCAAATTTAGATTGCAAAGTTGCAATTCATCTTGCTGATAGTCCGAATAATAATTGGCTATGCAGGTGACTATAAATATATATATATTACCTTGCTGCAGTTTTAGTCACCCATGGAGTCCACATGGCATGAGAACATATAAGAGTACCATCCTTGTCAAATATAACCAATGATGGTTTGGTAAATTGAAATTTCTGTCTTCTTGTTCTTATACTTTGCATTGAAGGTGTCACAATGTATGACCGATGTGAAGGTATTCCCCTAAGACTTGCCATTGCTGAATGTTTATACAAACGACGTGAAATATTCCCTGCAACTAGAAAAGAATTATATGAAAAGAATTATATGCACAGAGTTTTCATCAATAATTTTTTATAATTCATTGTGAAATTGTCCAAGGCTATTTCAGCCTCACACTCTACCAGGGGGGCAAAATCAAAATGCTGTAGAATCCAAATGAAGATATTGTAAGCAAGTTTAATTGAAATAATCACAATCTTGAAATTTTATCCTCATAAATGCATAAAAACAGTGCAGCACAGCACAGGGCAAGAGTAACTGAACATTCAGTTAGATTAAATCTTGCTTAAAACTAGCTTTATATAGCTTACTTTCAAAACTACTGTCTATTTAAATTGTGAAAAGTATAATCTGTCTAAATATGTCATATATATAGCAACTTAACCTTTTTACCATCAGCTCCTTCTTTCAATTACAAAATACTGTAAAATCTGTATTAGAAGCCGCGGCTTCTATTAAAATGGTACAATGCAACAGAGGAGATGCGGCTTCTATTAGAGCATGTACACATATGAGAAATGATGAATTTTTTATTCTAAATTATTCAAAAAGAATGGGTGCGACTTCTATTAGGGATGCGGCTTCTAATACAGATTTTACGGTAGTCCTGTTTAGTCTGCACTTTCCTTCAGAACATTGGAATAAAAACAGGCAAATTTGTTGAGTCAAAACTGAAAATTTACTCAAATTTTGACTGTTGGCTCCAAAATTGAGGTTTATTTTCAGAAATATTGAAAAATATAAGAAAAAAAGTGCAGAAAAATTTGGGCGAGAAAGTCTGGTGGTGAAAAGGTTAAAGATAAATACTATAAAGAATTAGTTGAAATCATTGATGACAAGGATAATCACTTTAAAAATTGTATGTTTTTATGAAAATATAAAAAAGAACAGCCATCTTGGAAATTGAGTTACACTTGGACTCTACTGTACATGTTCAGAGTATTGAATTATATGTAATATATAGTCAAAGATTCACTCGTATTGATGATATGAAGGGAAAACAGTGTCTTATTAACAAGTTTTACTTTTACCTTGTCCAAAAATTCTCAGTAGTGATGCCATTATCAAAGTCTAGTACAAGTATTAAGATCAATGTAGAAAAATATAATTTAAGATCATGCCATTCAGAAAAGAACCTGCAAAACAGAAAAAGAAATTCACATGTATAAATAACAATTAACATTTTGTTCATGTTTGCCTAGATGGCCTAACAATCTGAAAAGTTGGTGTCCATTTGATAATGCTAATGTTTGCCTAGATGGCCTAACAATCTGAAAAGTTGGTGTCCATTTGATAATGCTAATGTTTGCCTAGATGGCCTAACAATCTGAAAACTTGGTGTCCATTTGATAATGCTGGGTAGTCCAACAGAATTGTTGGTACTTGACGCCCTGGATGCACTTACAAATAAACATGCATACCGTATATCAACAAAATATCCAAATTAATTTGGATATAGGACATCCATATTTTGTTATTTTGGTTTATTGAGAGAGAACAATTATCAAGTCATTGATTGTAAATTTCTAGATGTCCAGTTGGACTTTCAAAAAACATACTACCACAAATTGATAGACTACATTTGATAATCTGACGGTGA